TACCTTTTTTCCTTCCATTATATTCTGTACTTTTCATTCTTCTCTAGTTAAAAATCACTCCTTCTTAACAAATTTAATTATATATTGAATTTTCATACATTTATTTGGCACTCAGATTTTAATCACTTACTTTGAGAAATTAACAACTATTAAATCTTTCTTATAATGCAGTCATGAAGTCTATCATAAATTACTGTAATTTAATCCAATGCAATGAACGTAAGTGGCTTTAATTACATAAAAGCTTCCCATATGCTTCTTTAGGCTGGAACTCAAATTTGTGTCTTCAAGCTCTTTGTAACATTCTTTCTAGTATTCAAGTGTCACAGCTGACAACCTTCAGAACTACACATTTCAGTTTTGTGCAGTAATATTTAGCAATTTGCCTATTGATTGTATATCAAAATGAATTACTTACTATAATATAAAATAAGTTATTGAGTTCGGAGTTAGCAAGACACTGGAAATGTTAGGAAATCATATCTAATTGGTTACCATTGAATTTCGTGTATATTAATACTCCAATCTCTCAAAATGTTACCTACAAAATTTTACTTGGGCCATGCCATTTACCATGTTGCTATATGCAATAGCACATAATATAAGGGTATAATGATTTAGTGAAAGACAGTATGTCCCACAGAAGCCCTTTTGCGACCTTTATTTTTGCAACTGTTGGTCAGAGACATGTACTCGCAGCTACATAAATGTTTTAATTAAGGAAAATAATCACGCAGTAACATTTTTAGATACCATAATTTTACTGATTTTTAATATTTAATTTTTTAAATACTGCCTTAATTGGTACAGTGTTTAGAGCTCATGGCTGCTGTATCATTCATTGGATTCCAAGTTTAAATCCTGGAGAAGGCATGTATGCTTATAAATGTACAAGACAGGGATTCTCAACTGGAGATAATTCACCTGGGGGAATGTCGTCAGCCTTTTATTCAGCTGTTAAGTATTTAGTTTTAGTATTTATCAATATTTTCTATACTTTTTGTTAGTTAATTTATTAAAATAAGTTCAAAATAATCTAAATAAATGTATATATGTATTTTTTTGGTTTTACGATCAAAGGGGTATGATCTAGCAGTGATGAAAGGGATGCATGGGGGCAGAACAGGTTGAGAATCACCGTGTTAAGCATTTAGTTCATATTCCAAATATATATATATATCGTATTTATGCGAATCTAATGCGCATCCCCATTTTAAAACTTTAAATAATAAAAAAATTGTTTGTCGGCAAATGTAATGCGCATCAGTGATATGAGGAATTTATTGAATCTTATTTTATACAACAATGGATTTGTATATAAACTATCAATTAATGGGATGATAATTTTATTTAAATTTAGATATCCATATTTTATCCAACAATGGATTTATACATAAAGTAGCAGAACATAGAATTAACCTATTAGTGGGGCTATTGTCATGTGAACAATCATTGTTAATTAGCACTACCGTATATACGGTACCTATCGTAAAATATGAACATGAAATAAATCGTAACATTCTTCTAGCTAACAGTTTCTACAATCATGATTATAGTAAACGTCTTTATTCACTAATGTTTTCATCACTGAATCCTCGCAGCTCTCTTCGTCAGAAGCAATTCATTTCTTCTTTCCTCATCATCGTCATCGTCGTCCTCGCATTCCAGAGCACATCATCATCACTGCCATTCAATGAATTTGGAAATGCCATTTCTTGAAAGATTTCACAATCATTGGTGCTTCGACACTTTTCCAGGTACAGAAACCCAGTGTGCAACAATTGCGATGCAGCACGCTTAATTTTCCTGTCGGGGTCAATACCGGTTTGGCTCACAAACCATTTTTCGTACTCCGCCTGAACATACCCCTTAAAAGTTTATTTATACTAACATCCAGGGGTTGTAACACAGACGTCATCCTTCCAGGAATGATAACAAGATCACTGCCTAGGCTGTGCATCTTCTTTTTTTACGTTGTCGGTGAGATGACCATGAAATGCGTCCAACAAAGCATTGATGTGGATTAGAGAGCCCACCGGACGGCGTTTCCATACATTTCGGAGCCATCAGCATTAATGATTCCGTCATCCACCCCTTCTCTTGTTTCGAATCAGACATCATCTGGAACAGCTTTTCATTCTTAGGGGTTTTAGGGCATGTTTTTCCGTTTGAAGATTAAGAAAGGGGGAAGCTTTGCACCCGTCTGCTCTTATTGCCAGCATCACTGTTACGCGTAGTTTTTCACATCCCGAAGTTTTAATGATAACTTCCTTAGTCCCCTCCTCCGTAATGTTGTAGTTACGAGGCATATCAAACCAAATTGGCGTCTCGCCAGCGTTGCCAATTTGCCCCATTTAAAAATTCTTTTTCTTTCCGAAGTGTGATGACATACCGCTGAAATGTTAAGTAGTTTTCCCTCAAAATCTGCAGGAAGCTTTTGGCATATTGTTGTACGGCGTCTTAGAGATAAACCCATCCGCTTCATAAACCGATCCACCCATCCACGGCTAGCCTTAAACTCTTGTTTCGGTATTCCAAGAACTTCAGCCTCCTCTTTTGCTTTATTTCTTATGGTGTCACTAGTCACAGGTTGTCCATTCTTCCTCCTTTCACGTACAAATTCCAAAACTTTTTCTTCAATTTTAGGGTGTCTTCCTTTGCGAGGGCCAGTGAATTTCTTTCTACTAGTCGCAAACAGTGCCAATTTCTGTTGCCGCCACAAGCGAACATTGCTCTCAGCTACATTGAACACTCTCCCTGCCTTTCTATTGCCATTTTTTTCAGCATAAAGAATTACTTTATGTTTGAAAGTAGCGTCATATGACATTCTTCTCTGTTTCCCCTCCATTTCGTGACTACCTACTCTGCAGTTTGTATCCTCTATGCAATAATGTGTCAACGATAAATGTAATGGTAAATGTAGTCGAGAAATACAGTAATCCATTGTTAAGATTTATATTTGGTTTGACGTTATCAGCGAACTTTGCACTCGAATTTAATGCGCACCCCAATTTTGAATACTACATTTGGCCAAAAACAATGTGCATTAGATTCGCGTAAATACGGTATACTTTTATTCAAGTTTTTGTATTTATCAACATTTTTCATACTTTTTGTTGTTTAATTTAGGGGAAAAAAAAAAATCCAAATAAATTCACATGCATTTTGCGAGTTTTGGAAAAGGGGAGAATGATCTTGCAACGGTGAAAGGGGTGAATGAAGCAAAACTAGTTGAAAACCACTGGTATAGATCTGTGTAGCATGGGGAGCACTCAAAATACATGGGAAGCTGAGGGTTTTCAGGAGTAGTTTGTTGGTAGGGAAAAAGAGATGGAAAACCCTTGGATGCATTCTCTGAAAGGATTTTCCTTCAAAATTAGGACAGAGTTCGGAAAAGTCTTACCGTCACCTATATGGTGTTCAAAGCTCATGCCAATGACAAACACAACCTTGCTTTCCTTGTCCCAATAAAATTCATGGACTTGTTCTGATCAGGCCAGTGAGCTAAGCCAGAACAACATTTTTTTTTATACAGCCTTTGGTCCACAGAGTATGTTTAGTAAGAATTTATACTTATCCTAAAAAATAAAACAGTGTTGGGAGGGGAATTGATGGAGATTTTTAATTTTAAAGTTTTAGATCCAATTCAAGAATTTTACATGAACTGATGAGCAGAATATTTGCATTTGTACATAAATAAAATGAAATATCAGTTTATAGAAAAAGCTTCTACTTTTAGTAGATAAAGTTACAAACACTACCATGCCATTTTTTTGTAAAACATACCAATACAAATTTTACAAAAGGAAGATCATACAGATTTCAGCAGAATTTGTGTTCCAGAGAATACTGGCAAACAATTAACTCAGAACATTATTTGCATAAATTAAAATAGAAACTATTTCAAATTTAACAATTTTTAGGGCATTATTATTAGATTACAACTTTTTAATAATGAATTATAAAATGGCATGTGAATATTATTAATGTATATTTGGCATTGAAAACTTTACTAATTATACTTGCATGAATATGCTTTCTTTCAGCATACCAAATACAATAAAAATATATAAGTTAAAGAATGTTATACACTAGTAAATCACAAAGAAATATAGTTAAATGGCATTAATGGGAGAAAATCATCCTCAAATTATCCTAATTTACTTTTTAACTAAGGAAAAAGGGGGGTGACAATAAATATCTCAATTAGGTTCAGTCATATGTTGAATCAAATACCATGTTTTATTATTTTTTAGAAGGATTATAAATACTTACTAAACATAACTATATAGGCCAAGGGACACCACAAAAAGCCACATCTTGTAAATTTTATAAACTGATTTTTAAATTTAAAAACTACCATAATATAAATATCTATGTCATTTAAAATATTTTTGTACTTGGAAGTATGCATATACAAGTACCAGTTTTTAAAACAAAGCTAGTGCAAGAGCATTTATCGAACACAGTATACCAAATTGAAACACTAGAAGCACAGAAATCAATATTTCTAGGTAATATTTTATTCTGATTAATGCCTAATAATGTACCACTTCTTCATACTTTCTTACAATAAAACAAGATGTCAAATGAAGCTTCAATTTGGATGTCAGTTTTAAGATTTTTTTTTTTTTTTTTTTTTTTTTTTTTTTGGGGTCCTTTTCCTTAATAAGAATATCGTATTGGCCTTAGGAAAGTGAAGATGTATGTCAGAATATTTCAGGAAGCGTTTGTATAGTCATTTTTTCTTTTTAATTCATAAAAATTTTCTGAAAAGAATATTTTTATCAATATAATTAGTTTTTTAATTATAAGTATTTTTGACAAGTTCATTTACATATTCTTCAGCCAATTTTTTAAATCCTTATTCAAGTAATGTGAAGTATGTGCACATACACTTGTCCCTAAACTTTAGAACAATTAAAAATACTTTGTTTTAAAACACTATAATCAAGGTCACAATTATTTCTAATCATGTAAAGAATAATACAAAAATAAAATTCAGCTATCAATATGTTTTGGGTATTTTATTTCCAGTTCCGTTAAATCAATTGAAAGCCAACATTGCTCAGAGAAAAATAATAATAATAATAATAATAATACATCTTTTTTTATATCTTCATACAGGAAGTAGCATATATATAGAACAGGAAGCAGCGTATATATAGAACAGGAAGTAGCATATATATAGAATCATTCCGCTCCACGGGGATCTTCTTACCACCAATTTTTCCGCCTGTTAAAAAATGAGAGCAAAACGGGACATCTAACTTTTAATACAGCACGACCATTTTTTTTTCCATCATTTAAATATACTTGTTAGAATGTTAGATCACTGAAAAGATTTGCTAATATATATACTCGAATTTTGAGTGAGTTCTGAAGTACTTACTATATGAATGAACCAATTTGCATCTTAAATTTTATTACTACCATATTTCATGCAAGCCAAATTCAAACAATCAAATTAAGAGACTGGCCATATAAGACAAGGGGAAAAAAAGGAAGAATAAATAGTTTTATCTCAAAAAAAAAACTTTTCTGTATTTTAATCACAAAACAGTAATAAAACTATGCTGAAAATATATGCACAAAAACAGAAATAAAAATTACATCAAGAGCTATGTTGTTCTTTTTTGGATTTTCTAGAAGTTTCATGACGTTAATTATGTGCGCAACTAAATCATCATTAAATGTCTAATCTTTAGTTATTCTAACTTCATTATTTACAAGAAATGCATATTTTTGTACATCTTAAATGTCATCCCATCAATTTAATTACTGTAAAATTTATTGTTTATTTATATTACAATAAAAAACTGGAATCAAATGTGGATCTTGGAGCTTTTTCGTGATTAAAGAGATTAGACATGCAATGTATGCAATAAAGTCTCTTACAGTTATTAATCACTTTCTGTAATTATTAACATACTATGTTTTACTTTGAAATTAACTGAAAAATAAAAGAATGCTGCAGATTCTTGAATTCCATACATAGAACAGTTTGCCAAATAAATACTAAACTTCACAATGCAGCAACTTTGTTTTTTTATTTCTGAAAAATCCATGGTTATTTTGAGAAATTTGCTTATTTCTTTTTAAATTTATATTTCCTTTCTGACATATATTTTCACTTACCTCATTTAAGGCCAATATGATATTTTTCAGAAAGAGAAAACAAGAACCAATAACTTAGAACTGACATAAAAATGAAAGCTTTAAATTCCAAATATACAGAAGGCATGGAAGTAATAATAAATTTATTGGGAAACAGAACAGTACTATATGGAATGGAAGAAAAAATACATAAGATGCCAAAAAGGTGTTTTTTAAGGGGGTGAAGGACATTAATTTAAAAAATTCTTCTTTTGAAATATAATTCTTTTTCTTCCCCCCTCTTCCATTTTTTAAGAGGAGGGAAATGATAGGCCCCTAGGAAAAACAAATGCAAATACTTTATGCTTTCAAACCTAGAAACTGGATATTTTCTGCTTTGAGACTTAACAGCCTCATCCCCCTTCTGTCAGTCATGCATACCCATTTTTTTTTTACTGATAAAATTCTTCTCATTCAGCACTTGAAATCTTGTTCTGAGTTACTCTGCTCTTTAATTGTAAGTGTAGAATTTAATAAAAAATAATTAATTAAATATTTCATTCACTGCTTTTATTTTTTAAATGCATTTTTTTTCCATAATATGTTTTAAGTGTTTTTCCTTTGCCCTTTCAGAAACTATTTCAAAAACAATAAAACCTATTTGATATACTGATGTTCTGTCTTGACAATCTTAGTTCTTTCAATCACATAATGCTTTAGTGTGAAGAAAATGCAAGCTCTCCAGAATACAGTATGAGAACACTTTTGAACAATTACTTTTCAGATAAAAGTGAAGCCACATTTTTTCATTTTAAATACTGGGTTCGTTGGAAAAACCCTGCAGTATTTTTATGATGAAGCGGTACAAAAAACAAGAAAAATTCATTGAATTACACAAGTACCAGTTTGTTCTGTGACTTTTTGCCTTCTTTCCAGTAGCTGAAAAATTCCTTTAAAAAGAAAAAAAAAAAAAAAGAGTTAAATTTATCTGTAAAGTTACCAAAGTGCTTTCTGAGCATCTCCAAAGACGCGAACTCCAGGTCATTCAAAGAATTTTGAACTGACATGAAGAGATGAAAATCCAAGAGGGCAAGGTCTGGTGAATATGGAAGGTCACAAACACCCCATTCTTACACAATAAGTCTTAATCTGCCATTTATCCAAATGTGGGTTCGAGAATTGTCATATAAGACAATACCTTGACTATTAGTCAGTTATACGTTTCAATTTCTGCTTTTAAAACTCCTGTTTGGGAACAGTATTTTTTCTAATTTATTGCTTGATTTAGTGGTAACAATTCATAGTATGTAATTCTTTTGTAGTCCAAAATACATAAAGGATCTTTTTTTTTTTTTTTTTTTTGATGCAGTCCCCTCTTGTATGTTACTAAAGGAGGTTCTTATATCTTACCCCACGATATTTTTCTTGTAACATTATTGTATAGTATCCATTTCTCATCTCCAGTAATGAGAGATTTCAAAAAAGGAACTCATGCCAAAACGCAAATAAGTATATTCTGCTTCATTAAAGAATGAGATATTCCTACATCATAGTGGCTTACATATCAAATTTCTTCAAATGATACTATGTACTCTTGTACTTTTTAAAATATTTAGTTTGTCTGATTTAGTTCTCGAATTGCAAAACTTGGATTATCAGCAATAGATTCTTTTAATTGTTTCGTCCAGAGTGGGTATCATTTTCAAGGCTGAACTTTCCACATTTGTCAAACCATCTATGTTTTGTGTCATCAGAAACAGCAACTTTTCTACATACAGCACAAACTTCATTAACAGTCTAACAAATACTTCTTTGTTCTTTAAAAAAATAATAATAATGAAAGAGCATAATATGATGAAAATAAACTTTGCCCCCCTCTAGGACTTGATTGAAAAATAAATATGCCATAACAAATGCCAGGATTATGCAAAGCGGGCCAATGAATATTTAAATATCTACTTTATCAAGGTCACTCTTTATTAGCATTAACAAAATGATTAGAAGGAAATGTGCATGGATTTGGAAAACTGCAGAATGCTTTGGATGACCCAATAAAACACAAATTTAAATAAGAAATTTTGTGTTGGTATTATCCACACTATGAATCCATACGAGTTACCAATAAATAAATAAATAATTAAATAAATAAACATGCAAGGAATTGAAGAACAAAATACTTTTATTTATTAGCTATATAATCTAGTCTTAAAATGGTTTATATACAAAAGTTTTCCAATAGATTATTTAGCACATTGATTCCAGCTGCCTTTAGTGAAAACCTTGGTAAAAGGTTCTTATGTAGGAAGAATATGCTGTTCTGACCTTGCATGAAATTGGGGTCGGGGAGTATTCATTATTAGGTTATGTGAGAGCAGTTATTTGATACCAAAACAGATAAAAATAGATGATTAAAAAGTTAGTAGATATAGGGGGTGTAAAAATGTGCACAGTTAGGCTATTTTTACACATTGTTCTATAACTCTACAAAAGACTGAATCAAAATTTTGATATCTGCAGGTAAATTCTTTTTTAATAGTCACAGATCGGAATCATGTTAGCTTAATCCAAAGATGGATGAAACTGACAATGAAGCACACTAATACATGAAGATTTGTGTGAGATAAGTTTTCAAATTTTTCTACACCTGCCAATTGAGATCAGAATTTTGCCATGGAAGAACTTGTGAAGATGACCTAAGTGTCATTTCTTTATACATATCAATCACCACAGAAATCACTGTTTTTAAGTGGAAAAATTGATATGCCATGAAGACCCCAGATTACCAAAAATACAGCAGAGATTGTAAGCATTTCAGCTGATATTGCAGAATCACTTTTAAGAAAAATCTAATGATGAGAAAAATCTGAGCCAAATGGTATTCAGAAAGCTAACAAAGCAGAGAAAGGAAATTGTGTGAGAATTTGGAAATCACTTTTAACAATGTTTTATACAAGACCTAGAACAGTTTTTATACAGATTTGTGATAGATAAAATGTGGGTACACCAATTTGATGCAGAAAGAAAATAATCACATTTGCCAGATCCTAAGCAAAGATTTTTTTCCCTTCTTTAAAAAACCTTCATAGGACATGTTTTGCAATGATTATGTTGTGCTACCAATGACAATGGATTTTACTACATGAGGACAACTCTGACTCACTGGAATTAAATGTGCTACAGTTGGTTTGGCTTATTTGGTTATGGCAAAGCACTCGAGGGCTATCTACATGAGGGATGGCTTGGTGGAGGATTTTCTAAGGAAAACTATATCTTGTATCTATGTTACACATGGGGAAAGCCACCGAAACTTCCATGAAGCCAGCACATTTTCCTGCAATAGATCCCAGGTTGAACTACCAGCATTCATTGATTTTACCGCTCAGCCACTGGTGGCTCTAAATCTGCTACGGAAATAATGAAGAAAATGCAGTGCATTAATAAGAAATTAGAGGAAAATGTTTTTTAAAAAATGCTTTATGTAGCATTATTACTTACATCCCGTTCTATGAACGTTTTCATCGTTCTCTGTACATAGTGTTAAAAACAACTTTTATCAATTTCAAATTAACTAAACAATTCTTATATTGCTTTTAAATCTCTCACTTAGGCAATGCAGTGTTTTAATTTTAAAGACAAATTTTAAATCTTACAGAATATCAAATTGCAGCCCCTCTAAGAATCAGCAGTTTGCTTGGGTGACAAATATCTTGCAAGCTAACTGGGTGATAACTGCCATGGTAACATAGCAATAACAAAAAGGAAAACATTTCTGTCACCAAAACAAGGGAGAAAGACAGTTTCTTTTACTCAGGAAATAAAATTTGTACTTTTAACAATTTTTCTTCACCTTTTAAGTTTCAATAATTAATAAAAAATTAATCACGGTAATTTGTAGAAAATAAAATGCCAATTTTTTTTAATGTTTATTTGTATATAAGAATATATGCCATACTTTTGCATTTTAAAAACAGAAGTGCAAGCTAAAAAATATTATCTTGCATATTTATAAGAGTTGATCTGTGATTCCAGCCCCCTCCCAAAAAGAGAGATATATAAAATGCTTTTATTTCTGATGAATTCACATAGTGAATATTTCATTCTCTCTGAAAATATCATTTTAATACAAATACTTATACATCAACAACCACTGATTAACAGTCTCAATAAAGTATTGCCATGTGATAGTATGAAATTATATATTGTAGGTTTTTAAAACATTTACTAGAAATTACATAATTATGGTACATGAAACAGTTCATGTTCTTAATTTCCTTTTTCTCTTGTTTCATCTTTTCAGTTTTAATTTCAACCAACAAGATCTTAAGGTTTCATTTCACCTTTATAGCTTTTACTCAGTAAATGCATTCGTCTGAAATGATATGATATATGGAAACTCAGCAAGTTCCAGTGGGTTTTTCTTTTTTTTAATTTGAAATTTTTACTGAAGCAATAATAATGATCTGGACAGCAGCTATGGCCGAGATGAATAATTTTTATTGAAAGAGATTTCATTCAGCTTGCTTTTGAAACATTTACGTCCATATGATTTGATGAATCTTCTTGCAAATTAATAACTGTAAACACATTTCACAGCAAAAGGTTTCACTTCCAGCAACTTGTGTTTAAGTCACTCCCAGGATTAAATTTAGAGGTTAGCAATCTTAAGTCTCAGTACTTTTATATTTCCAATATTATAATAATGGACAAAAAGGATGATATTCTGTACTGATTATTAATCATTGATATCAAGAACCATTTTTATTTTGCCAAAATTCAGCGTACTACTTTTATAACCACAATTTTACACATGTCATTAGATAATAAAAAAGATAATTGGTGTCTGATGAACTAATTAGTAAATGCAATCACAATCAGGAGATGCACACTTCAGTCTTTAATTATGCCATTTTTGAGTTATCAGCATTTTCAGACCACATTAAAAATTGTTCTCATTATCCAAAGCTGAAATATTTCCATTTCTATAAGAATAAACCTTTTTGATATTTGTTCTGATAACAAAATTCCTTCTTCATAGAAAATCGTAATTTTATCAGTTTCAAGTTTCAAATGAAAAATACCTTAATAAAATGATATATTAATAATTTTTTCTATATGCCTTTCCTGTGCCTAAAAGTATCATTTAAAAATGAAAAGCAAGCACAAAAATATTCTAGACGCTGTATACTATAATACAATACATAATTTAAGGGACAATACATGCTAGGTTAAACTTCAAAACAACCAATAATATTTTTCACTTGCTCACTTATTTCACTTGCAAGTTGTTTTTCAAATGATACTTGACAAAATTATCAATTTATACAAACTTATATCTTCACTGCCTCTAACTTTTTCTTCTTCTAATTTACCATTTAAAATGTTTTTCAAATTTTTGCATGCCAAAATAAAAATATTACATACAAGTTCAATGAACTACGTGGATTTTCAAACATCTAATATTATAAAAAGCAAACACATAAATTAAGTAATTCGATTTTAATGTTAAGGGTACACAGAAAGTGTGGTGTATTGTGGCACTTTTGTTGGTATCTTTTAGTGATATAAGTGTTTGGCAGCATAAGTTCCAACATCTAATCCACAATTAAACATCACAAATGGCAGCAATGCATCTATCTACTGAATATTATTAATTTGCACTACTGAATATAATAAATTTTATAAATGATTAGCTTCGAATAAATTTGGTACAGTGATTTTTAATTCTTTCAGTTATTCTACAGTAAGAAGTTGGGTGTCAAATTTGATGCATATTACAATCAGAGGTAGATTTAAAAACTGCACAAGTCATAACTGTTTCTGTATCCCTATTCCAAAGGGCTTTCAAATCCTCTATATTTATTTAGTCAACATACCTTGAGCATTGAGATGATGGGTACATAAAAGTTCAATTCAGGTAGACCCCCATTTCATAAATCTGCTCCTGATTATAACATGTTTCTAAATTTAAAAGCATAAAACAGTCTCTATTAAAAAAATTTCTAGAGACTTTATTCCCTACTTTCAATATATATCTATTGATTCATTAAAGAACATCATCTGTCTAATATGATGCTGATTCTCCAAGCACCTACCAAAAGAAATCAATCCAGGTGGTTCAACTGAGTGAATTCTCCTAATCTCACTGATCTTACGACTCGTTTCATCACTACACAATGCTTTTGATTCACTCTGCATTCCCAGTCTTATTCATCAAGGTTAATGTTTGCTTTTGATTCACTCTGCATTCCCAGTCTTATTCATCAAGGTTAATGTTATCGAGCAGCAAGTTGTAAAAAAGAACTGACTGAATTCATTGAGCGAATGGTTACAATTTAATTACATAAAAGAGCAGTTTCGCCCACCTCTACTGCTAAAATGAATGGATTCAGAGACTTCCAGGAAAACATATTTCCAAATAATACATTTTCTCCTTAGACAAAATTTTTGTCCCAATATGCATAAACAATCATGTACATAAAAAATAATGCAGTCAAAAATGAATTTATCAATCCAAGCAACATTTCCAATCAAACATATGATTTTGATATTCATAAATCTATAGCATTTTCAGTGATATAAAAATATTAGCATAAGTAAAAAAAAGCAATCTATGGCTACCTAGCCTAATTGCCACCAGATTTTGATATTGTGTACATTGTAACATTGTCCCCACTGTTACTAACATTAAATTGGGAAGCTGCATAACAATATTTCTTTCTCAAGTGGGTTGATCTTCAAACATCTAAGACCTATTTTTCAGATGATATTAAAATTTTCAATCAGGGTAGTTATTTGTAAGATACTTTGCAACATTTAAATTATCAGAGAAGAGTTCACCCATATAAATGCTCCAGACTGAGGATTAAGATTACTGGAGATGGAAAGGCAACAAAAATCAATGTAAGTTGCAGCATAATTCCCCCCCCCCAGCCGTGTTTTAAAAAGTCTCTAACCCATTACTCTGATGACCTCTTTCAAGTCTGCAGTATGCATCATATTTGCTATATTATGCAGCCTGGAAGCACCACAACTAATTAATTAATTAAATATTTATCTTTCCTCACCCAAAAAAGTAGTTATTAGCAAATAGTACTTAATTAACAGAACTTCAGGTTTTATCTACATTATTTCATGAATTTAAAATTTACTGTGATGCAGCTGGATAATTTTGTCAAAATAAGCAGTTATACAAAAATAGTTTAAGTTTCAAAACACTAATAATATGCTGCAAGTTATATTTTCAGCAGTTAAACAGCCTAGCTCCTTGAGATTCTGCCATTAATCCTAGTCTACAAGTAGTATAGTTTTTCCTAGATAGAATCCTCAAATAAAGGGACTTTTTACCATATGCAGATAGCTTTATAGAGCTTTGCAATGTTTTAGTTTCTTGGCATATATTAATTTAATAGTTAAATTTTGTAACCTCATAAACTCGGAATTTTAAACAAAATTGTTATAACAGTAAGCTCAGGTTCTCTATGCAGTGCTTTATAAGGTAAAGAAACTTTATTTCTACAGTAAAAGATATTAACGTTGTTTATTCATACTTCATTAACTGCATTGGAAAGCATGAATAGGATAATAACAAAAAAGTTGCAAACACTCAGTAAATAAAATTAGCATTCTGCCACGATGGATCCAATAAATTGGCATAATGGTGCATGCATACACCATTATGCCAATGATAGGATTTCCTATACTGGTAATCTTTTTTATTTTCATTACCTTATATTGGAATAATACAGATTTTATCAAAAAATCCAGATCTTAAAGAGAAAAGTGATATTTTATGGAAATGAAAAGTTTTTAGAGTGAAATAATTAATGATACATACCATCCTTTAAATATGCATTTCTTGTAAAGCAACAAAATGATTAACATCTTACCAAATGTGATTTTCAAACTTAACTGGCCGTTTAATCATGCACAGTTAATAGTGCAATACAATTTAAGCATTAAACAATTTACTTAATATCAAAAATACTAAACTGTAAATCTTTCAACTTTAAGCTGCTTGGAAAAATGAAAAAAATAATTTCATTTAAATATCAACTATATCTTTACACAATAAAAATACAGTACAAAGTCTGTAATTCGAACATCCATTATCCAGAATGATCTATAATCTGGACCTCAAAGCCACAAACTTTTTTTTTGTATGCTTTACGCATGCGCGATTAATGTTACCCATGCTCATTTAATGTTAAAGCATGCGCGCTTACCACAAAAAAATAAAGCAACTTAAACAACTTGCATTGAAAGAAATGTTTAATAAAGTAAACAAATAAATATTAATCTTTTTTTGTAAATCCTGATACCCTTTCGATCATAATTGCTCTTTATTTCATAAATTATGGTTTCATATTTTGAATTGTACAATTTCTGCATGCCATATTACCAGATTTAAATTGATGATCTATAATCCGGAAAAACCCTTAATCCTGAATCGCCGAAGTCCGGATTACGGACTTTGTACTGTAATATACTACATGCCTATGAAATATATTTTTACGTAAAATATTTTCCAAGAATAGGTTGATTCGTATTTACCAATAAGTACCAGCAAGCTGTTTAAAAAGCTTATATAAAAATGACTAATACATATTTATTTAGGCATAATAAATCTTAATTTTTTATCAAAGAAAAAGAGAAAATACTTTTAAATGTAAGTAAATGCTAAGAAATTTGCCTTATTAATTTTTTTTGAATCACTGTGCACAAATTTAGCATATTATGGCAAATGACCAGAAGCAATATTTTTACAACAGAAATTAAATTCTGTCATTTATACAAATGCATTAATTAATATCATTAAAAGACAAAAAAATTAACTGCATACTTACTTTTTCCAACATTTCATTGAACAAAAATAAACTTCTAGCGGCACTTTAAAACGGCTAGTATTATTGATGTACACAACAGTTGAAGCCAGCTTGTACAGATCCAAAACAAGTATGCAGGATGACACATTCTGAAACACTCGCTTTCCACATGGGCAAGGACAATGCTCAATGATATAATCAATTACATTTTTGGGCAGATCTTCAGAGGTATAATGAATGCTGTGTGGATAAAAAATATGTATACATATTATGCATATTAAAATGCATATAGACAGAAAAATATTAATTTTTCAAAATGTATTATAACTTCTTTGAAAAAAATTACACTAAGTACATTTTGAAAACGTATACACTAAGCACTACAACTTTTTCAATCGCCGAATTTCAAATTTAACCATTTTGTTACTAAGCATTATAACTTTTTCTATTCATCGAACTGAAGTAAATTAAAACATCACTCGAGCTTAAAATTTTTAGTAGGTAATAACTGAAGATCCATTTCAGTTTTATAATCCAAGAAATTCAATGCTTTTTCCTTTTACAATTATGCATTTTTACGACACCTATTTAATGTTACATTAAAAGTTTTTTCTCTAATTATTTTTATTACTCTTAATCAGTTTAAAATTTGTAGTTAATCTTCTTTCATTACTTAACACACATTAAGTTTAAGAACAGTATTTTGCTACTGAGATGCTGAAATAATACTTTTTTTATTTTTAAAACTTTTGTTACTTAATGCTACAGATTTTGACAACTATTCTTATTTTTACATCATTTTTTTTATCAAATTTTTCATTTATTATTTTCTCAAATGTTACACTGTTTCCGTTTACTAGTTTTGTTTTTTTGGACTCAGTCCACGTAAAGAGAAAATAATTTTTATTTAATTGTTAAGCTTTTTTGCTTATGATTTTGATGCTATAACTTTACAGGGAAGGGATTCCCCCCCCCACACACTCTGGCTGGTATAGTTTCAAATCTTCGTATGTTGGACTGCTTATATTAACATATTTTGTTTTTTGGAATCACTCTGCTCAAAATAATAAACGAAATTATTTAAAAAAAATATTATATATATATATTTTTTTAGGATTCTGATGCTTTAATTTTGCAATTTTTTGCACTACTTTCTAAGGCCTATAGGGTATGGACTGAAAAAAAAAAAAAAACACAAATTATTTTGATTAACTTTCTGAGATTATTTTAAGCATTAAATTTTAATTTGTGTCTTTGGTGGTTCAGAAACAGGCTAATGTATTTACATCTTTCATTGCAATAACTCCCTGATGATGATGCAGAGAAAGATGTAAATTTCTTTTTCCTTTTCATTTTTGGTTTTAGGATGTTTTGTGACTTCATTGTGCTTATGGTTTTTTTTTTTTTTTTTTTTTTTTTTTGGGATATGGTTCATTCCAAATTAAATATGCAATGACAGATTTAAAATATATTAATTTATTTTGCATTATATACATATGGGGGTTGTAAGAGGATAATTTGGGGAGATAACTGCAATGTATTGGCTATGGTCCTCTGCATTATAACTTGGAAAGGCTTTTTAACTGTATAATTAGTAATATGACATTCAAAGACAGACACAGCCATATATTCCACACAATTTTATTCCTGAATAATGAATTCCAAGGATATACAGTACTAGAGCATCGTGCAGCAGCACCACAGGTCCGGGGTTCGAATCCCAGGCTGGGCAAGGTCGACTCAGCCTTTCATCCCTTGGGTCAATAAAATGAATACCAAGTTCGCTTAGGGACTAAACACTGGGGGTCCTGCGACAAGCTGACCACTTGTTCAAGGCATATGCTTACGCACCCCGGGGCCCACAGTCAAGATAGCAGATTTCGGGGCACTGAAAGCCTTGGCCCATTAGGGCTGTTTGTGCCACTGAGTTTAGTTTTTAGTTTTTTTTTATACTCCTTTATTATTCAATTAATAAACATTAAAAAATTGTTTAGGCATCACTGCATGAGTCATTACTTAAATTGTCATGTTTTTATAAACATGTGTTGATGAAAGGAAAGTATAATAAATAATGATTTGCCAGGTTGGCGTCAGATCAACGATGTATCTACATGGAAATTTTTGGTTTTTTTTATTTATTTATTTATTTATTTTTTAGATTTATGCCAAAAGCAGATACGCACCAATGGAGCGAAATTACTGATCGCACAAATTTATGCTAACATGATTGTTTCTTCAAGAGCAAGATATTTTATTTAGTGTTGAAGTGAAATTCAGAATTGGGACTCTCCAGATGTTTTATTATGCGTGGAGGGGGAGTCAATAGTGCATGTGTAATGCCTACGAGAAAAATGTTGGTGGTTTTGAGGTCATTCAGGATTTCGGACTTTGTACTGTATATTCTTTTTTATTTCACATCATCATTGTAGGTCTGCTACGCACCCCGCAATTTTATACAAATTTTATTTTTAGAACAATGGACAAAAGGTGGCAGAGGCAGCAACAGGGCAGCAATAGAAGTAGACGCAAAAGTGTGCAGTTATCCAATAGGGAGGCTCATGAAGAGAAGATTTTTGTTTAGATTGCTTATTAATAGAAAAGTTTCAGTTATCGAAATTTTGAGTTCAAGTTGCGAATTAACTATGTCCTCAGCGATACGCAAGTCATATGAAATGGACTGATCTAGATATGACGCAGTCCAGAAAAGGCATTACTACTTACTTGAGAGGGAGAATTAAGAACTATTGTTTGTTGTAATTTGCTTATTATAATTTTGAGATTTACATATTTATCTTACATATATATAATATATTAAGTGCGCAGTCATGAATATGGTACTTTTAACTTCTGGCTGTAGACATGGCTAGGTAGAAAAGGCAGGAATAAGACGTTGACAAAAATAATTTCGGCAAATCACCATCTTTATTTTTAGGCAGATCAAAAATTATTTCTTTGGCAGACAAATTACTTTCCAATCAAAATTGAATACAAATAATTTTTATATATACAGATAAAAAGCTATGCATCATTTCAAGCAAATAAGCAACAGCATGGAAAAGTAGCGTGCTACCAGCAGGAAAGCATACGTGAAAGAGAACGCAGCAGTTCAAAGGAAAAACGGAGAAAATTGATAGTTTCAGTTCGAGTTAGAGAAAGCTTTGGTTTACAATTAATTTGATTGGACAATAGGTATCTGCATTAAAACATTACATAACATAGAAAAATCTAGAATTTGGGAGAACAAATGAATTTAGGGGGTGATCATCAAATCTAGAATGTTAATTTTGAGATTTATTTTTAAAGCAGCTATCGTATTTTGTTATATCTTACATATATATACACATATAATATGTCAATATACAGCAGTATAAATGACCTATTTATCTGAAAGAATTTCAACATAGTACTGACACCACTCATAAATCAAGTACTTATGGCATTTGGACAATATTTTTTACAAACAGACTGATGAATGAAAACACACAATATTTAGACAAATTATTTCAACTTTTCAAATGCTTGAAAAGATTTTCTATTTTGAAATAAATTATTTAATATATCAAATGCTGCTTCCATTAATGTACATTTTTTTTTTTTTTTTTTTTTTTTTTTTTGCAAACTGCGGAATTGTTTCAAATTTCTTACAATGCATTTTATGAGATCCTTTTTTTAATTATATTAATTTTTTGTGGTAGTCCTATAATTCTTATCAGCTATCATACCATTTTTCAAATACTGGTCAAACTGACAAGTGAGGTAAATTAGGCATACAGTGATGCTTCGTTTAACTATGATGGTATTCATTATGTAAAATGTTAACTGGTTCAAAATTATGAATTATTTTACAGAATATTAAAAAACTACAAATATTTAATATGCTGTGACTACAAATTTGGAGGGGAAAAAAAACATATATACATTATACCTATCCAATCTTGCAGTTTTAAGACAATTTAATCTAGGAGTTGAAAACTCATCTTTCTTTCACCATCTTAAGATACCTTCTTTTGGTTTTACTGGAAGTTCAGGTCTTAAGAAATTATCTAAGGTTTAGAAATCATCTAAAATGGTGTTTTCTTTAGGATGGAATTTCCACTGGATTTAGATTTCTTTCTCAACTAGCACATAGTACTACAATTGAACAATCTCAGTTATTAGAATGATACTGTCTGGCTATGAACTGTACCTCTTTACAACTTCTAATTAAATCAATTTTGCTGTCAGAAAAATACAGAAATATGCTCTTCAAAATGTCCTCAGTAGTCACAATTAGTATTTTCTTCTTCTAATCAGATGAAACTTTCTTCCGAGCTCCCTCAATTTCTCATTCAAGAAAGATTTGTAGCTCATAAAATAATATTGATAAATATGTTTGTTTACCAATTCTTTTGCTCTTTGTTTATGCACAGATAATTTCTATTTATGTGAACCAATACAATAAATTTAATTCTGCCTTTAATAAGTAATGAATCTAATATATGCTTTGTTATGCAGCCCATCAGTATATCATCATGAGCATCATAGTATATTTAACATTTGTAATTTTTTTATTAATACAGCAGTACTTATTTAGGTACTATCGCATTATTTGCCCAACCTTCCCGAAAAATCACCAATTGTTGGCAATTAATTTTTCACTAAACTAACACATGAAAAACTAAAGCCATTAAAAAAAAAAAAAGGCAGTGCACTGAAAATCACATAAAACAGCAACGAATTAACGAAATTAAAAGCACAAAAAAACACCTATAATGAAATAGTAAAAATTACATAAAACAAACATTCATAATGAAACACTCAAAATTTCATTAAACACTCACAAATCAGCTAAATTAAAAACATAACAAAAACCATAATAAAAACACTTCCATTTTATTGGTCTGCTTTAAATTTAAAATAATCAGAGAACTGCCGAATTCTCAACATCACAGGGCAACTTCGCACTGCTCTCCATGTATACATCACCCTGTTTTAAATCTTAATAATAATTTTTTAAAAAAGGCAGTTATTTGGGAAAAACTATTAATCACAATCACCTAAGAACAGTTCATAAACCACTTTTGAACTGCAAGTTTTCTGTAATAATGGTAAGCAATAAAAATTGCTAGCCAAATGCATCACATATGAACACCTTGCTGACAATTTTAACAGTAAATTTCCAAATAATGTGATCACTTGTAAAATACAGCTACATGGGATGTGCATTTCTACACTAGACAAATACACTTTGTTACAAGAAGGGGGGGAACCTCCAAAATTCTACACAAATGTATTAATGGGCTGCTGGATAAAATACGTTTTAGTAAAATTCTGGGTTGCCTACTTCGGGCTTTGCACTGTGATTCTTGTCGTGCTAAGGCGGACAATGCAATAGTACCCTTATTTATTTACAGTATTTTGTTATAAGTTATTTGCATTGCACACGTACTGAATATTGTATACATATACATAAACCTTCAACTATCTACCTTTAGCAGTAACAAAAATAGTAAAACTATATACTAACTTATTTTTAACTATACAAGAAGCAGCACATTCCATTAAAGTGGGCAATTCCCAAAACACTATAGGGCGTAAAACAACATCAGTATTCAAGGGGTTATGAAACAAATCCAGCGTATCAAGTTGCAGTTTTCTGATGCCAAATGGAAGAACCTGTAAATTTCAATATAAATTTAACAATAGGAAATACAGTAAATTTATAATTTTAATAAATAGCAGAAAGGCATGACTGATACCTATGAAAATGTATGGTGTACATATATTTTTTTGGAAATGCTACAATGTTGTTAAGACAAATGCAACTTGCTAAAAATACAGTTACAAAATTTAAAAAAGATGCTTGCTAAAAATACAGTTTAAAAATTTGCACTGAGGTATGTAATATAACTTCTCCTCTTCAAAAATATCATACACATTTGAAAAAATCCATTAATGATTGAGTAGTGTGGTTGAAAAGTTGTTATGCAAAACCCATTACTGCCACAAAGGAGAGGGCAGATTTGTTCATGAGCATGGAAAGGGAAATTCAGACACAAAGACGAATTTCACTGAATTTGAAAAGCAAATTTTTCATCATCAAAGACATGTTTATGGCTATCGTTACCTGACCACATTATGATCCACATCACAAAAAAATTTTTGATGGAAAAATTGAGAATGGCTGTTTGTTTATCAAGAATCAGCTAGGCAAAACTTGATAAATAAGGGAAACATGACAATAAAAAGAGTGGATTACTGCCACAAAGGAGAGGGCAGATTTGTTCATGAGCATGGAAAGGGAAATTCAGACACAAAGACGAATTTCACTGAATTTGAAAAGCAAATTTTTCATCATCAAAGACATGTTTATGGCTATCGTTACCTGACCACATTATGATCCACATCACAAAAAAATTTTTGATGGAAAAATTGAGAATGGCTGTTTGTTTATCAAGAATCAGCTAGGCAAAACTTGATAAATAAGGGAAACATGACAATAAAAAGAGTGGATTTTGTGCAGAGGAAATTAGTAAGACCAAACTTCATCATGCAGCATGGTTACACAAGTGTGTACTGACAAGAGGCTCAAAAGGCAGTACTTTTGTGTTAACGCAAATCACCTTGGCACAATCTGGCAATTTTTTACAGAAAAAAAGGTGCAAGATGCAAGATGGTGGTTTTCCCAAATTGTTTGGGGGGAAAGATTCCCAAAGTATCAATATTTATCATAAGTTAGAGCGCATTATAGCAATTTAAAATATAAATTATTAAATAATGATTAAGTGATACATTAAAAAAAATAAAACTCTTCACCAAATCTTCCTGTTAATTTTTCTGTACTGTTCCTCTTCTTAAGTACAGTGATCTGCTTCCAATTAAAAAAAAAAAAAAAAAAAAAAAAAAAGAACAAACTAAAATCTCCTCACTGATCCCTTTAGAGATTTTGTGCAAAATTCTGTATTTCTACAGCATATGCATATAAAAAGGGAGACGTTGCTTGATTGAATGACTGGTATAAGCATCATTGCCTAAAGAATGTTTATGTGCATTGCTGCCAAAATTTGGTGAATTCTGAAAATTTGGCCATCATATTTTTGGATGGAGGGAGTATGATGTAACATCTTTCATTAATTACAACGGTGGTGCAAATATTTTTAAAATTACCAAAAGGGTATTAAATATATATATAAATTAAATATATTATAAACTATTAGGGCATTCATATATGACCAAGATGGATTGAATGGCAACAAAATAATAATCAGGAATACATATAGCTCAGATCAGCATAAATGCTTTCAAAGGTTTGCATTTGCTTTGCGATCTCTTACCAATCAAAAACCTGTGGAACACAAGTGGATGCCATTTGAATATTTCTCTACCCCTACGAAATGAAGATGATCAACACAAAATGATTTATGATAATCCAGGACATTATCTGGATACTCAATGAATTGGTGCCATTCATTCAGAAATGATTCAGATTCAGAAATGTATTGTCCAAAATAGAAGTGTAAATTTTTATGGATTACTTCACATTTTAGGCTATTGCAGTTATCACAGACATTCGTATCATATCTGCCAAATTATCTTGCTTGAGACACTATAAGATAAACATTTACCCTGCTTTTACATATTTTATTTGAAAACATAAATGAAAACTATTATAATTAGAAGTAAATGTAATTAAGCATAATGCAAGCAATAAAATAAGTAAAAGCCTAAAACAAGTAATAAAAAACTAAATGCATTAAAAAAATCAAATATGATAATCTACCTTTATGTCATTATGAGAAGCACTAAACATTCTTAAAGATTCTAAGCAGTGAATGTTACGGGGTAGTTTGGAAAGTCTGTTGCATTTGAGAGACAACACAGTTATTTTCTTCATCAGGCAAAAGTAGGGTGAAAGTTCTTCTATCTAAATTCACATAAAAAATGAAGAAAATGCAGCTAATATGCAAATACAATTTAATATCATAGTGATATTATAAAAAATTAATATCTTCATCTGAAAATTTCTTCAAAAAATATAATTTGCAGTAAAAAGGAACCTACAACATTTTCATATTTAGAATGTACTGCATCATATTTAATTTTAAAGATAAAACCATGAATAAATGATAGCTATAAAACTACCATTCTGTTTTTAAAAAGTACAAAAATATGAAATTTAAAAGTGTAATTTCATATAACTTTACTCTCATTTAAATAATTAACTTAATGTATGCAGAAAACTTATCACAATTTTGGATAGATTGAGAATATAGTTCCTTCAGTACATAATTGGAATATATAATGCCAAATTCCATTTTAAAAAAAAAACTGTACAAATAAAAATATTAATTTCTAAATAATACAGATCTTTTTCAAGGATGAAGATAGCCCACTATTCCAAAAAATGATCAATTAAATATTTTTTTAATAGAGACCACCAAAATAAGGTAAATATTCAATAATAACACTCCAAATTTAAATGACTTTTTATGCATGAGAACAAGTTTATATACATATACAAAAGCATAAAGTTCCTTATCAATGAAAACGAGAAACCAGCCAAAATTTACAGCAGACTGCATGCCCAGTTAGGGAATGCTACCCTTCGATGGCTAAAGTTTGGTGCAATTAATTCAAGCAAGGCCGTTATCATGTTGCGAATCAAGGTCATCCCCATCGTCCTCCCACTAGCGTAACTGAAAATATTGCACATGTTCGTGAGCTTATTGGACGGGATCAATGCTTCACTTCAAATTTCAGAAGAATTTGGTTGTCAGCTATGGAAGTGTCCAATCAGTCATGAGAAGCAGATGGGCTTCTGAAAAATCTCAGCTCGTCGAGTTACAGAACGATGATTAAAAAGCACGAGTTCACATTTCTCACTTGCTTCAAACTCATTTTGAAGAAGAGGAGAAAGCTTTTTTGTATAAAATTTTTACCTGTGATGAGATGTGGGTGCATCATTACAGCCTCCCCCCCCCAATCAAAGCCTGCCAGCATGGAGTGAAAAAGGAAAAGTGAAGGAAACCCCATGAAAGCCAAAACGTGATTGCCTGCGGAGAAAGTGTTGCCCATGGTCTTTTGGAACTGGAGGAGATCCTATTGGTACATTTCTTACATGAACGTCAAACCGTCAAAGCAACTTACTACCGTGGTCTTTTGGATCAAGTTAGGCTTCAATGTCGACACAAAAGATGAGCCTGTCCCATCTATCATGTATTGATCCTTCCAAACAATGCCAGGTTTCGAACAAAAAGTGTAACGCAAGAGAAACTGATGGAAATGCATTAAAAAATGCTTGATCGTCCACCTTACAGTCCAGGTGTATTATGAGATTTTCACAGGTTGGACCCCTCACAGAAGCACTAGGAGGCAAGCAATTTGAGACAACGATCAAGTGAAAACATTTTTGTGAAACTGGTCAGATACCGTCCAACTTCATTCTACTAGAACGGAATGAAAAAATTACCAAAACACTGGTATAAATGTATCATAAAAGGAGGAAATTATTTAGAAAAATGATTTATAGAAATGTAGATGTTTCTTATTAAATAACGTTTCTTTAAACAAAAGGCTCATTTATATTTGATTCACCTTCATATTATACTGAAATTATGCCCAACAGCTTAGGATAAATCCTAAAAATTCAGCAAAAAACTACATTTACCATATTAAATTTATTCGAAGAATTTAAAATTTTCCAATGTACTAAAATTAGAATTCTAACAGTTTTACAATTGTCTACAAACGTTCAAATGAAAGAAAAAAGTACATTCCTCTGAGCTTAAAATAAAAGCTACACATGAATAACCACTGAACAAAAAAACATGCTGAAAAGTCAAAACTTTGTTCCAAATATTATAAACTCTCATTCATTCAAGTTTTTGGCGGTTTTGAACAAAAGCTGAAGTCCTGAGAATCTCAATTGAGAAGTGATGCTACTATTTGTTAATTTGAGCCGTTTGCCTTATAACTGTGGCTAATTAACACAAAATATGAAAGATTTGATTTTTTTCTTTGGTGATTAGTTATTCTAAGGCAGCTACAAAACCTTTTAGATAGTGAAGGTGGTCATCCCGAAAAAAGCAGCAGCATAACAATATGCATTACACCCTAATCATTTGCATCCTGCTATAGCAACTATCAGCAATGTTTGCAAGCTTAGAGAAACAAGTTCCATTGCAAGTTATATGTCAGTGCCAAATATGATTTTTGGCTACCTAGAGGGGTTTTTTTTGGGGGGGCAACGAAAGCAGAGGCCCTAAGCTATAGCTTGTGTAGCTTATATGTAAATCCTCCATTATTTGAACCTTTTAGTAAAGGACCAGATGTACAACTTCTAATCTTGCAGTGTTTAAGATCTATAAACTCAAATTGATGAACAATAAGTTAGGTAACACCTGGACAGCTGTAAAATATTCAATAAAAAGTTCTAGCTTGACTGCAGATATATACTCTTGTCAATGGTAGACACAAAACATAGAGCATGCTTAACTATTAGTAAACATTGCATAATTCTAAAACTTTTTTTTTTTTTTTAAAAATGTCCTACTGCTATATAAATTTTTGACTATCATATCTTGACTTATGTTAGTTTTATCAGCAAATAGCATTTAGTAGTCATTAAGTTTATTTCAGAGAAGGAAATATAAAAAATCAGCCAGCATGGAGCCCTTGCCAGAATTCAAACTCCAGACCTCCTGATTGCTAACCAGGACGTTTCCAATTGCACCACAAGGCATGCAGTAAGGAGGAAGAAAATCCCTTCATTCTTTCTCACTTAAAGGATAACAGTTTGACCCAATCACCAGATACAGGCGGTGACGAATTATCATCCACCACATTTTAGTTTGAAGCCCACCTGTAGCATCGGTTAGAATTTTTGGAGCTTAAAACTTAAGCATATCACCTATGCCCTTGCCAGGATTCGAACTCCAGACCTATCGATGCTAGAAAGAATGCTTCCAATTGCAACACACAGACATGTGGCAAGAGTGAAAACTCCTTACAAATTTACATGTATCTTATAATGTCACACAAGGTAGTGATGTATTTATACCCATGACTCATGAGTGATCTGCACTTCTGGACTTTCATTCAAATTACTGGTGCATGGAAATGCATCATTTCATGCTAAATTTGTGATGCGCTAGATGTTTGCTAGACTTTTTTTGCTGTCTCTCATAATCAGGGTATTACAGTAATCAATCAACTATATTTAAGCCTTTCATTGCTACTGATTTTCTAAAGCACTCAAAAAGTTCATTTCAAGTATGCTGTAAGTCACATTTGACATTTAAATGATACCATCCATACCTGCCAACCTCTAAAGATAAAAATTCAGAAGATTTCTTCCCCAAAGTCAGAAGATTTCTCCAAAATTCAGAAGAACACGAAGAATTAATATCATGCTTTGATATTAAAAAAAACAATTTTACAAATAGAAAAAAGAAAATTGTACTTACATTAGTAAAATCTCATTAAAGTAGTAACTAAAAAATTTATTAGGAAACATAAAACAAGAACTTAATGTTACACAAAAAAATTATTGCAATGAATTTAAGAGTGCATTTTTGGCTTTAGCCAAAAATTCTTTGGAAAATTCCTGTCATAACAATTAGTTTCCTCATAACATTTAGCAATTAAAAGTGTTTCTAGAGTTTTTGGTGAAATTGAAGAACGAAACATAGTTTTGTTTTTCTTCACAACACTGAACTCTCTTACACTCTGCATTACTGTGTGGAATTACGAGACTAGCACATAAAACTCTTGCTGGTCTATCATATTTTGGTGCTCCATCAGCTCTTTTTATTCTTTTTAAGGTACCAACGAGGACATCAAGTCTATCTTCTCCAGAACTGGCAAAGTCTTCAAACTGTGCAGCAGAAAATTGGTTCTGCAGTTCATCTAAAGCATCATTATGGCATTCATTTTCTTTAATTGTTAACAAAAATGGAAATTTATCAATAAAAAAACGAATCTTTTCAAAAGATGAATTTTCAATTTGTTTCAAATTTGCCACTTCAGCATTTAAAAGAACTTCATTTTGCAAAGGAAACTTCCTTACAATGTAATCACAGGATGAGGAAAAGTACTTTCTAACACACTGAAAAAATTATTTTTTCTCATGATCTTTCAAAGAATTTACAAGTTCCCTGGTTTGATTTCCAATTATAAGATTATTGTCAACCTTTTGATTTGCCAAACTATTATAGGCAACACAAATCAACACACTGTTTTTCACAATGGACGGTTTTACAAATGAAGTATAAAGTTCTTTCAAAAGAACATTTAGAATTTGGATAAGCAGGGGAGATTTTGGCGAAGCTGATTGTAGAAGGGTATTTACACTTTCGAAAATCTTAATGGTACTTAACACAAAACTACAATATGCTTTGTTCAAATCCGATGAAAGAAGATAGAAAATCCTTTCCTCCCGGCTAATAGAAGACTGTTCTTCTTCCCTTCAACTTCTTTAACAAAGTTGACCTTTGAGGAGTCTTCTGAGCATTTTCTTTTTAAAGGGTTTGATTTTGTGTGTTGGCTTTTCCCTTTTAAAGCAGGGCAGGCCGAAAATATTGAGAATACGGTTTTTTTTAACTCATTTTCGTAACAACGACGTATTAAGAAAATTCGTAGCACGTTCAAACAAACAAAAAAAAAAAAAAAAAAAAATCAGAACGCGACAATCCACGCTCGCTGAGTCCGAGCTGAGTAATTCCCTTGCTGCTGAAGCGAACGCGCGAAAAAAATAATATGGTGCCCACAAAGAAAAGAGTGGGAGAAACAAGTTCAGCGCATTGGATTGGCTGGTTAAGTGGCGAGTTGGGAGAAACAGAAGGTTACTGGATTCAAAGTAGTCGGTAGTTGGCGGTAAAACATGATGCAATTGGCAAAAATCGCTGAATTGGCGAAAAATTCTAAAATTTTGACAAAAATCACTAAAAACACTTGAAAAAGGAAAAAAAATCGTAAAAAATGGATTACGATCGTAAAATCGTAAAGACAAACGCATTTTCGTAAAAATTACAAAAAATTCGTAAAAGTTGGCAGGTATGTACCATCTGAAGTTATTACTTTCTTCATACATCAAATCAATGTTTCAAAATAGTGCTGTGTGATTATTTATTATTTTTGCTAGAAAAAACTTTAAATACAAAAAAATTGCATTGGACACAGACACATTTGAACATTTATTAGTCAGAAACAAATGAATAATGATCAATTATCTCAAAGTTAACATGTAATATACAGTAAATAAATAAAACATTAAACATATTTAAGTAAGCTGCAAAATATTTTTTAAAAGAGAAAAATTCTTTAAAATTCAAAAACATTTATTACATTTTACCTTGTTAAATGATAGGTCCAGGACTTGAAGTGTCTGGCCAAGAGTTCCAACAGCCAATTCAGAAGGAAATGACACAATTTCATTATGATGCAACAAGAGTTCTTTCAATTTAAATTCACTAAGAGCAAGTGGGAGTTCTTTTATTTTATTGTGAGTTAAATCTAGAACCTGTAGATTGCGCATATTCAGAATACGTTGTTCTATTTTTCGTAGTGAGCAGTTTTGAACTTGCAGCCAAGTAAGACTATTAGAAAATGGAGTTTTCAGAGGATAATCACTGCGTCTGGTGATTGAAAGTTTCCTTTTTGGTCGATCTACTTTAGTCGGAGCTGGAGACAAGTGAATGCGTCCTGTTCCTTGACCAACAATAGTCAGTCCAACACCATGGAGAAATCCTTTCAGCTGAAGTGGATCAGCCTTAATTGATCAAAATAAAGAAATATGTACTATAAAGTTGTAAGAACATAAAGGAAAATTCCCACTCTCCAAATATTAAAAATTATTTTTAATCTAATACTTTGAGCAAAATTACAAAATAAGTGTTTTTAAAAATTTCAAGTTTAAAGAGATTTTTATTTAAATATGAAGCCAAAAAAAAAAAAAAAAAACTACAAAAAACATAATAAAAACTTCAGCTATAAAAATGGAAGAACAGTTAAAAATACTTAGGAAATCAATTAAAAATTCAACGAAGCTACTAAAGATTACGAAATTTTTAGCATATTTTCATTACAACTTACGTTCTGAAATATTTGGTTAAAAATCTTTTTTTTTATTATTATTATTATACACAGATATAAAATGAACAGAGTTTGTTAAAAAATATTACACTAAAGAACTATACAAAATCTAGCAATTAGTGTTACGAATATTGTACATAGATGGAGGATTTTAGTGCAAATATATGTGAAATTGTTTTATTTTTCTGTGTAATGCAAAAAAAAAAAAAAAAATTCTAGAGAGACAAGTTATGCCAGAAAAGTAAGAATACAGAGGCAACTCCATTTAACATTGAGTAAATGAGTATCTCGGTAATCAGGCGAGATATCATCAAGCTGGTAACTGTTTTGGCGACTAATTTTTGTCACCAAATTTGGCAAGGAAACTTTGGCGAACATTTTGGTCCACACCCTGTATCACCATAATAGGTATTGTAATTAAATAAATATAATATTAACATAGTTCCCCACACTTTGTGTGAAAGTATTCCTGTAAAAATGAATCTCTCTTCAGAATGTTATTCGCATACAGATGATTAAGTACTGCAATAAATTACTGGCACTCAATAATGTCATATATTAATAAATGAAGAAAATATATTAATTACTAATACTTAAAAAGAAATCAAAAAATGTTATCTAATCTTCAAAGCATATTTTTTGCCTGAAATATTTTTTGCATCCAATGGCTAAACATTTTTAATTTTATAACATGCTTTATTAGTAACTGTTTGATACAGTCAAAAGTCGTTAATCCAGACTCGTCGGGACTTCGGCGATTCAAGATTATTGATTTTTCTGGATTATAGATCATCAGTTTAAATCTGGTAAGATGGCATGCAGAAATTATAAAATTAAAAATATGAAACCATAATTTATGAAATAAAGAACAATTATGATCTAAAGGGTATCAAAATTTACAAAAAAAAAGCTTAATATTTATTTGTTTACTTTATTAAACATTTCTTTCAATGTAAGTTGTTTAAGTTGCTTCGTTTTATGTGATAATACTTTCTCTTTAATTCTATAAACAGACATAATTTCTTGTTCAGTTACAAAGTTCCGGTGTTCTAGTCCTATAATTGCTGTGTCGAGAATACCGACTAATTAGTTTTCAATAACCTCTGTGTCACTTTCTTCACTACCGGAAGCGAATTATAATGACGAGGAATTTGATTTAAATCATATCAAAGACGGAGTACATCGAGATGAAATACTACATTTAGTAAGGAATTATAAGCCAAATAAAATAAAAACATCTGCCCTGAAGATACAGACAGTGCTGACAGATCAACTTCCAATTCATTGCGCGTCCCGGCGTTTCCCCCCCTCCCCCGCTGCAGAGCAGTGTGAAATTGATAAACAGATTTCGGAATGGTTAGAGAAACAAAGGATATGCCTTTATCCATTTTTTGCAGCAATTCCACTTTTTGTTTAATGGACTTCGAAATATACTTTCGCTTTGTAAATCCTTACATATTAGTAAATATATATCGGAAATTCTATTTGACATAATCGAAAGTTAAAAGTTCAAGCTTACTTTTATAAAACTGCTCTAACAGTCTGCAAAAAATAATAAGCTGGATCCAATTCGAAGATTAAGGAACAACGCAATCTGCAACATTAACTGAATTAGATAATTTTAGCTTAGCTTATACCGTCTGTTATACATTAAACGCGCATGCGTAAACATATTATGCGCATGCGCACACCCATATTTGCAGCCGTAAAGGTCTTACACGCATGCGCAGAAAGTTTGTAGCTTTGAGGTCATTGATATTTAAAATCTTGTTTTAAGAATACTTTCTTATTCTATGATACTTAAAAAACAGGAAGAATTTTCATTAACATAATCTCAGAGATCTTCTTTAACAATATTGATGAAAAAAACAAAATGTTATTTAAAAAAAAAGGCAATAAAATGGAATATTTTCAAGAAAAAAGGATAATTTCAGATTATACGCGTCCCTGACAAAAAGTTGCAGAAAAGTATTTATGAGGCTTAGCAATATGTTGACAAAATAATAACGTAACAAACTAAAATGTTGATAATTATTCATATGCCAGTCCACGTATGGACACGGCTGTTTTGGCTGATGCATAATGCCAAAGTTGTACAGTTGCTGGACTTTCTGAGGTATTTTTTAAGTGAAAACATATCTTTATGGACATGGCAAGAACAACTTAAAAAGAAAATTTGACAAAAAAAGAGGGGGCAAGTATTTCATTACTGATGTTTTTTGCTTTTTAAACTATATTGATTGATTGCTTTTGTATGGAATTCTTAATATGCCACCAGGCCCACCAGCGGCCAAGCGGTAAAGTCGCTGAACACTGGTAGTTCGGTCCGAGGTTCGAATCCCGCGAATGGGCTTGCTGCATGGGCGTTTTCGTTGTTTTCCCCATGTGTAACGTGTATACGAGCCAGTTTCCCTTAAAAAGTCCTCCACGAAGGCATCCCTCCCCTTAGGCAGATAGCCCTCGTGTGCTTTGCCATAATTCAATACACCACACACCACCACTTAATATGCCACCACACTGAAAAAAGGCAATTGATTGGAGAAAAATTATTCAGCAACAAGTTCACTACTTTTCGCAGGAGGTGAGAATAACAGAAAGTAACTGATCAAGTTTTTGAAAAAAACAAGCATATTGAATTACACACAACAATTTCTGAAGTTTATTCCACTGTCAGATGCAACTAACTTCAGTCTTTAGAAAAGTACATTTAAATATTCTGCTTGAATGTTTTTGCAAACTACACTACATAATAATGTATGTCACATTTTATTGTTAAATATTTTTTTAAGTCAGCATTTCTTTATATGGCTACCAAACATCAGCAAATTTGCTTAATACACATTTTAGAGAGGAATCGTAAAATCATATATGCATGTTGATAGAAAAAAATTTTTCAGAATGAATAAAATTACATACCTTATTGATTATTATATCATGTGGAGGTTCTTTAAATCTCAAAGTAGCTTTGCCATCATTGACGAATTTGGTAAATAATTTCTCCACATTATTATAAATCTATATTAAAAAAAAACTATGTATACTTGCAATACCCTTTTATGCATATCTAAAATAAATACAATATTTATATAATACTAAGACCATTTATAAGAGAAACACTCTAATGGATGTTAACATAGCAGTAAACATGTTACATGCTTAAAACCTTTTATAGACAGAGCTTGTATAAAAAGTACCAGGAAACATTTTCCTGACATGACTGTATGTCACAGTGCACTTGCACCACGCATGCTCTGTGGTGGAGGAAGTGGAGGTGCACCAAGCATCAGTCATCTGCAAGCATTCGTTCAGGCTAGATTAGGTTTTTAGTGCACACCTGTCAAGTGACTCGGGTACAAGTACAAAACGCAGCGAATAACTGAACACCAATACACCATCAAATTTTGTGTTGAACTGGGTAAAGTGGGTTCGCGAATATTCATTAAGTGTTCAAAAATTAAAAATGCCAAAAACGGCAGTTTTCAATTGGCACAATCTCTTCTTCACGGATGAATGAGAAAGTGTACAGGATGAGCTCTGGAGCTAAAACAAATGAAACTGGCACATTATTGTCACTGAAAATTTGTGAACAGAAGTGTATAGACATTTTGCAACATTGTTATTTGGTATTTCATGTGTTAGGTTGGCATATTTACTATATTGGAATGAACACTTATATTACGAAAGTTAGATAACTGTATGAACAATGTATTACACTGGATGAGTACAAATATTTGTATATGTCAAGAAGTTGATTTGATGGAACAAAGATTTTTTATAACAAAAGTGTTAAATAACTACATATGTAAAAAAAGGTATATATATATATATATATATATATAATTAAATACTTATATACAGGAGCTGAAACAGTAATTTAGCTATTTGGGGAATGGCTGTGATGAGAGCTGTTCCAGGTTACTTCGTTTTTGCAGCGCAGTAGGTAGTGATAGCATGTAGTTTCGATAGAGCAACATTGTTATTTTGAATATTATTCCACCATGCTGCACGAACATGGGTTCTGGTTTTATTAGATGGAACTTCGCCGTCAGGCAGCATTCAGAGTAATAGTGGTCTGGACAGCCCACTTTCCCGCAGTCGCAGATGTCTGTGTTGGATAGACCAAAGCTATGCAGATAGGCTTTGTACGGTCCATGTTCTGTTCGCAAATGTGACATGCTGCCAGTTTTGCTCTGCAGATCCATGCTTATACAGGGTTCATAGCCACATTTTAGTTAAAAAAATAAGCACCTATAAGCACTTTTCAAGCACATTTTAAGAAAAAAAAATAAGTACCTGTCTAATTACATTATACACAACTGCATAACTTCAACTGTGCCAGCCTCTGTCTTAGATCCATCAGTGTATAATGCATGATCATTTTGCGCCAGAGAATCTGCGTTTATATGGATGGTGTCCATTAAGTCAAACTGTGCTGGGTGACAAAGATAACGAGATTTGTATTTTTCATAGTCTGTGTGGATTATGCTCTGTCTCACAGTGATGTATTTTTATTAAGCCATGTAGCTTTTATCACTGCGGCTTCCCTCTCAACTACAAGATCAACAGGGGAAAGACCCGCAATGACTTGTAGAGCAGATGTTGAAGACGCCCGATAGGTCCGACAGATGAGCAGAAGTTGACTTCTTTGTATGGAAAGCAAAGTTTTCCTCATGGTAGAAGTGAGGTTATGTCCCCAGATGGAGGCTCCATACAAAATAATGCATTCTGAAATGGTTTTATATCAAGATTTCAGGAGATTTGCCGGTATGCCTCATTTCATACTGTTAGCGAGATTGCCAATGCGCTGCCTGAGAATTTTAAGATGAGGAGTCCAAGAAAGTTTGTTATCAAAGGAGAGACCTAGGTATGTCATTTCTGAGACTGTTTTTAATGAATGTCCCTGTAGTTTTAGATAGGTTCTTCTCCTAAGGGGATGACGACGTCCTACTACCATGGCTTGCATCTTTTCTGCACTTATTTCAAGTTTATGCTCCTTGGCCCATTGAGCAAAGATATCAAGACAATCCTGCGATCTTTGTTAAAACTAGCAAGTTTAAACATGCAGATTTTCAAACGTTACCATAGGCTTATGTGGTACTATGGGCTTATGTGGTGACAAAGAAGTACCAAAATTTTGGATACATCAACAATTTTTCTAAATACAATGGGGGATAGGGACAAGAAAAAATATCTTATCCTAACCAAATATTTCACGCCAAATTCGAAATATGCATTTTTTCCTCCCCCCTCCCCTTGATATCCAGATTAAGTGTTACAATTCCAATTCAATGTATTTAAAAATTTCAGTTGTTGTTTTCCTCTGGCATTTGATTTCTGGAGCAACGCTTCTTTAGTTTCCAACAATAATCAGCAAATATTATTGCCTTCCATTATCCATAGCAGAAATATATTAACTCAAATGCTCCCTTTTTTCATTACAGTAAGCACCTATAGATTGTCAAGGAATAAATCTAGGCAGGAATTCAAGAAATGTATCTTAAGAGATATATCTTTGTGCAAAATTAAAAATTCACCAATAATTTTATGATAGCTAGCAATTCACAGTTCACACATATCACAATCTCAAGTCCAAGGAATTCACTGCAAGATCTGCAACTTTAGCATATAAAATCAATTTGGCAAAAGCAGCTTCTAAATGTGGAAATAAAACTTATTTTTGTCTTCTGAAAATTCTTCTACTTTGTTAGTTGCAGCCCCTATTACCAAATCTTCATCGTTCTTCATTTTTTCTACTTCACAATAAATCACATCATACATAGAAATAGAAGATTAAAAAAAAAAAGACTAGTCTTACAAACTTTGATAAAATGTCTTTAAATAGATCATAAATCATTGATTTCAAAATATGAATTAATGGAATTCTGCTTTACAGAACTGTGTTAAGAACATCGAATGATGGTAAAATTAACTGTATAAAAAGCTAAAAGTTTTTTAAAATCCAAAGACATAAATATTCATTCTTCATAAGATAAAGTAATCAGAAATTTTTTCCTTTGTTGCTGAGCAATTTTTTTTTTTTTTTTTTTTAATTCTGAGAGAAATCTGTATCAGCTTTACACTTATATTTTGCAGTATTATTTTGAGAACTGCCAATTGCTCACTGGTGCAGAAATTAATTTATTTTTCTCAAATCTATTTTTATAAGTAGACATTGTAACCACATCTTCATTTTTTTAAATATTTTATAACTTTCAATAGAGCCTGTTATCTTAACTCTAGAAGCATTTACTTCTTCTTTAAAAAATGAAGGAGTTGGTGCCCCATTGGTCAAGGATTCTAGATAACATTTCTTTAAAGATAACCAGCATGTACATACATGTTTAAAAAATTTTCTTATTATGCAGCTGGTGGAATTGTTTCAAATTTTTTTCCCTTATAGAACTCCTTTTGAGAAAATAAATATCAACAATGAGTTTATTCATACTTATTGGTAAAGAAGCTGCCCCTTTTTCGGCTGCTAAATTTAAGGTGATAGGTGCACCTTACAATCTGAATTTTTCTTTTTAAGATGGGCCCACCAGCAGTTGAGCAGAAAAATCACTGAACATTGGTAGTTCTGATTTTTGAATCCCGCGAATGGGCTGGCTGCATGAGCGCTTTCGTGGATTTTTCCATGTGCAATGTATATATGAGCCACTTACCCTTAGAAAATATAGCCCTCAAGTGCTTTGCTGTAAACAAATACACCAATACCTGTTTTAAGATGCCTGCAATACCAGACTTCATACTAGTACATTACTAACAGCAATTTCTAAGGAATTATCAAGAGGAACTGCACTTTCTTTTAAAGTTTTAATAATTAGCTATGCTATTTTAAAACCTGTCGAATGTCCTTCTAAAGTGGGGACAGAAAGTAAACTACACACAATTTCTGCAAGACACTGAATTAAAAAAAGAAACAATAATTGGATATAGTTTTGGATCAGTATTATTGTTTCTATCTGTAGAGAGGAAGAATAGAACTGTTTTAATGCAATCAATAATGCAGATTTTTTTCATACCCATTTCTTTACCAATTGCAGCCATTTTGGTCCTTGTACTTGAGTATTTCTTAGATTTTGCTACGCGGAAACATTTTCCTAAATAAAACTGCAGCATGATCCGATGCATTCTGCATTAATACCTTTTTGGTCCTTTGTTTCTACAAAAAAAAATTAAGGTTACTTTTTTTTTTTTTTTTTTTTTTAAGTCCAAAGGGGCTTTGTCCCTGAATTGTATTGTTTTCATTTTGTGATTTTGAGTCAAATTACTATAAACAGCGTATCACTTTTCAGATTGTTACCACCAAATATTAGAGTCCTGGATTATACTTGAAGAAATTAAATAATGAAGAATCTGCATAAATGTATGTATGTTTCTCGCACTGTGATAAAACAACGGTACCTAGAGCTATCCAATTTTGAATGATGTAATCCTACTGTAAATACGGGAATCTGAGAGCCCAAATTTGAAATTTGGAATTTGTTTTATTATCGACTTCCTATTTTGTAAAACTTTAATGAATTTTTGATTAACAAACTCAACGATTTAAAAGCAAGCAATGGCAACACTCTACAGAGAGAAAAAACATTTTATGTCCAGCGCGTGGAACTGAGCAACGGAAATTCTAAAGATATGCTCATTTTAAAATTACTTTGCGACATTGCTGTTGAACTGAATTTTATGGTTTAAGTGCAAAGAACATATTTAATAAATAAAGGTAACACACAAAAGTTAAAAAAGGACCCCTTTTGACGCAACTTAAAATATGAAACTTTTCAGTTCCCCCCCCCCCTCCATTAGAACTCATGTTGTCCTTGTGTTTTTGTGTACGCACAAGTTAGAGAACATTGGCCTTTCCACTGTATGAAACTGAAAAATCATAATGGCAAATGGTACACATTGCAAATGTATTACATTTCCTTGAAGAAATAATAGAAGGAAAGACACCTGTGTATGAGTTTTAAAAAGTACATGAGTATTTTAGCTATTTTGCAGACATAACTAAAACAAAA